TGGAGGGCAGGTCTGCACAGACACACAGAGCTCAGCCCCATGTACACCCAGAGGCACATGGAATGCATGTGCATACACACACACACACACACACACACACAGAACTCAGTCCCCACCCTACACAGAGGCACATGGAGTGCAGGTGTGCACGCACACAGAGCTCACTCCCCTCCCCACACACATTCAGAGGCACATGGAGTGCAGGTGTGCACACAGACACAGCTCAGCCCCGTGTGCACACTCACACACACAGCCCAGGACAAGAGCCCACCCTGCAGGGACTCACATACTCCAGACAGCTGCATGCTCACACACTCAAACATGGAGTTGCACATCACCCTCTCATTTTCCTCCCCGTGTGGTCCCCAAAAAGCAGCAGCTCAGGCCTGGCTTGGCCAGAGGAGGATGAGCAGTGCTGTCCTCCTTCCCTGCCTGGGGTTGAGGTCCCTGCTCTGACGGGCTGGATCTCCCACCCCAGACAATGCCAACCGGCTGCTGCTTGCCCTCTTTGTGGCCGAGATGCTGCTGAAGATGTACGCGCTGGGGCTGCGCCAGTACTTCATGTCGCTCTTCAATCGCTTCGACTGCTTTGTGGTGTGTTCGGGGGTGCTGGAGATCATCCTCGTGGAGCTGGGTACCCTGTCCCCTCTGGGCATCTCCGTGCTGCGCTGCATCCGCCTCCTCCGCATCTTCAAGATCACCAGGTTGGGCAGGGAGCTCTGTGGGTGCTGGCAGCTCAYGGTCCCTGGGTGTCATTCACAGTCCCTGGGCATCACTGGCCTGTCCCCAGGGAAGGCTGCAGTATGAACAGAGCTGGTAGCTGCTGGGTGGGGGGACAAGGCCAAGCTGGGGATTTGTTTCCAGGGCATGGTTTGACTGGCAGTGGCGAGTAGGGCAGAGCTGAAGCTTGCTCTGGGTTCTAGGGTGTTGTGAATGGGGGTACTGTGGGCCAGGACTCTTGGCCTTTCTTTGTGGCCCAAACCCACCGTGTGTTCACCCCTCTTCCCCATCCTGCTTACTGGTGCCCTGTGCAGGCAGCAGCATATCTTGCCTGTCACACCATGCCTGCCMCTTCATTTCTTCCTCCTGGAGCCTGCCTGGAGCAGTCCCAGAGCCCAGCCTGGCTCCAAAGTCCCCGTTGTTGGGCTGCTGGCCCATCACCTTGGTCTGTTTGGCCAGGTTCCCTGTCCCTGCCTTATCCTGCCCACTGCCTTCCTTGCTCTCTCATCTCCCACATGCCCCTGTCTCTCCTCTCCCCAGGTACTGGACATCTTTGAGCAACCTGGTGGCCTCTCTGCTCAACTCAGTCCGCTCCATTGCCTCTCTCCTCCTCCTCCTCTTCCTCTTCATCATAGTTTTTGCCCTGCTGGGCATGCAGCTCTTTGGGGGCAAGTTTGATTTTGAGGACATGGAAGTGCGGCGCAGCACATTTGACAACTTTCCCCAGGCTCTCATCAGTGTCTTCCAGGTTTGGGGCTGTGGGAAGGGCAGTGGGGGGCTGGAGGGAAGGGGGCTGGGASTCTCACCTAGGCTGTGGGTCTCCAGGCAGGAGTTGGGTCTCAGGGGGATGTGGGGGTGATGGGGCTTTGGGACAGGAACAGGGAAATGCAGCTGGAGGTGTGAGCATTAGTTCAGGGGCTGAGCAGAGAGGAGGGTTTKACCGTGGGGCTGGAGGGGCTGTGAGGGTTTGGGGCTGGAACCAGAAGGGTAGGATCAGTCTGTGGGSTTCTTGAGCCTTTATTACTGTCTTACTCCCAGATCCTGACCGGAGAGGACTGGAATTCAATCATGTATGATGGGATCATGGCCTATGGGGGCCCGTCCTTTCCTGGCATGCTGGTCTGCATCTACTTCATCATCCTCTTTGTTTGTGGGAACTGTATCCTCTGCCTGCAAAGCCAGGTCCATGTGATGCCTAAAACAGGRCTTACCTGAAACAGAGGCCAKACAAAGTTAARGAGAATAAARAGCAGRCAAATTTAACAAAGGCCTACAGGTGCATTCAGGGCAGACAAAGCCTCCTCCTGAGGCTACACCCAAAATGGACCCCAAGTCACGAGATTTTCACCTTTTATAAATTCTGTCACATTAACCTATCAGGCCCCAATTCTMCAATGRYACCTTCAGGTGATGATGTCAACCACCCCAAGCTTGCTCCCCCCARTTCAATGTTGTGTACRTATTTGGYRGCTCTGAGGCAGTGARGTGTCCTTGAGTTTTGGGCCCAGAGASRAATTGTTTCRTCTAAAAATGGGAGAGCAGGAGCTCAGCACTGYAYAYTGGAGAATTRCAAGAATACAGCTACATGAAAAATATAGAGGCTAAAAATCCTAAAGCATCACCTGCACCCAGCCCCACAGCATCAACTGCACAGGATTGGGGAGGGGGCAAGCAAGGGCTTCCATCAGCATTTTAGTGCTTGCCTGAAGCTTTTCAGTTCTGAATAGCAGTGGAATAAACCCTGGACTTCAGGGCTTGCATTGGTGGTGGCTGGAGGCTGGGGTCTGGAGGAAAGCATATCTGGAGCAGCTCTGGATGCCTGTCAGGTGGAGATTCAGCCAGAGAGAGGGCAGTCAGCTCTGAGCTCATTGCTCACGAGGGATGAATGCTGGTTGGGGATCACCAGCCAGGGTTATCACAAGGGCTGAGCTCCAGGAAGATTTCTGAGGGCACCCTGCAGACTGTGGATGGCTCTGGTCACATCCTCCTGACAGAAACCAAGTCCATGTCCTTAGCACTGCCCTTCCAGACATCCTCCTCAATGTTTTCCTGGCCATTGCAGTCGATAACCTGGCTGAGGCCGAGAGCTTGACTCTGGCCCAGAAGGCCAAGGCAGAGGAGCGCAAACGGCGGAAGATGTCCAGGTGAGCGCTGCCTTCCCGGGCCATGGGAGCTCCCAAATGAGGTGCTTGGGTGTGAGGGGACAGAATGACCTTTCCCACAGTCCCTGCCCAAACTTCAGTTCTTGCTCTCCCCTCCTCTCTGCTCAGAGGTTACCCAGAGAAGTCTGAAGAGGAGAAGCAGATGCTGGCAAAGAAACTGGAGCAGAAAGCAAAGGGAGAAGGGATTCCCACAACAGCCAAGGTCAGTTCTGGTGGAGATGAGCCCTGGAGAGCTCCTGGGGAATGCCCAGGCTCATTCTCCCACCAGCCAGGATAGACAAAGGCTTGGAGCCAGCCTGGGTCTGGACTCTTGACCAGAATCACTTCTTGCCATGGCATCCACTGGTGATGGGTGTTCTTGGTGATGGGCGCTCTCAGTGATGGGGACTCTTGGTGATGGGGGCTCTCTGGACCAGGCAGGACATGCTGCCTGGTGAAACAGCCCCCTTGCTGAGGATCCTTTATCTCCAATTCATTTTCTTGGCCATGGCCAGTGGTCAGTGTCTGAGATGGTCTGCTGCACACCAGCATGGAGTGGGCCAGAGCCAGTCAGCAGCATCCCAGATCTCCCTTATGTCAACACCAGCACCCCCTATATGCAAAMCCCTCTGTCCAGCTATGCTGTGTGTGCTGAGCTGCCTCTGACAAACACCTGGCCAGCAGCTWCTTCCCTGCCCACCTTCCAGAGATGCCCTTAGAAACTCACCCAGGAGTTGCTCCATATCTTGTTCCACCCCTGGTACATTTGCATGGCTCCAGGCTCTTGCCAAGCACCCATTGCCATCTGCCATTTGCCATTTGCCATTTGCCATTTGCCATTTGCCATTTGCCATCCTCTTTGCTTCGATTGCAGCATCCCCTCACCCAGCTCCAGCCTGGGCCATCACTCCATATGCTTGGTGCTGTATGGGCCAAAGGTAGAGATGCTGCTTGTCCCACGTGGCTTCCAAGATGAGAAGGTCTGGCCAGCTGGCACCTGCAGCTGCACAGCCTCCTCTCTGTCTCTCTCTTRTTTCAGTTGAAAGTGGATGAATTTGAATCCAATGTCAATGAGATCAAAGACCCCTACCCTTCTGCAGACTTCCCAGGTAAGACCTGTCCCTGGCAGGGCAGCAGGAAGGCTGAGGAGGCACTGCAGAGGGATGGTGTGTGAGGAGCAAGGGATGTGGTGGCCTTTCACCAGCCTGGGGAAACAGGTCCTTCTGGCATGCATGCCAAATCAGGATCATGGGACTGGAAGATCAYCCATAAGGTCATATTCCCTCTCCCTCTCTGGATAATTCTCTTCTTTTCCCTTCTCGTGGTCACCCTGCAGGTGAYGATGAGGAAGATGAGCCTGAAATCCCCCTGAGTCCTCGGCCACGTCCCCTTGCAGAGCTACAGCTGAAGGAGAAGGCCGTGCCCATGCCTGAAGCCAGCTCCTTCTTCATCTTCAGCCCAACCAACAAGTAGGCACTGCCCCTTCTCCCTGCCCTATGGAGCCAGGCATGGCCCAGGTGCCTCTGGCACCAGCTGCTCACAGCAGGGTCCTGTTTGTGTGTGACAGCCAGTTCTGAAGGGAACCAGCTCACATGGAAAAGCCTTGTGTGTGGAAGGACTGGTACAGACATCCTTCCATACCCAGGGTCTTCCTGTGCTCAGGGTTCAGCCATAACCCTGTGCCAAGCTGCCATGACCCTGTCTGATGTCCCTCTGGCCCCTTGCAGCATCTCACGGCGTTTCTGTCCCTGGCAGGTTTCGGGTCCTGTGCCACAGAACTGTCAATGCCACCTGGTTCACCAACTTCATCCTGCTCTTCATCCTGCTCAGCAGCATCTCACTGGCAGCTGAGGATCCCATCCGGGCCGATTCCTTCCGCAACAAGGTGCCCACAGAGATGCAGAGGGTTGGGATGGGTGGGGGAGAGCTCATGGAGGCTCCCAGCTCCCCAGTAAGCACRGACTGAACTTGCCAGACACATGCCTAGCCTGGGATTCCAACCACACCTCTGGGAGGACAGGGCATCTGGCAGGAGAGCTGGATGTGCTTTCCATTCAGGGTGCAGCTGGGACAGGTTTTTACTGTTCCATGTCTCAGTTTACTTCTGGGTGAAGGGATCCACCTGACAGGGTGTGCCAGATTATTTTGGTTTGAAAGTGTGGTGACTTGTTGGGGGTAGAGAGGCAGCAAACTGGATCTCTGGTGTGCGCAGTGTCCTGGAATGCTGCTGGCATGAAGCAGTGGGAGCCATGGCTCCTGTCCTGCAGGGTCCCAATGGGTCTGGCAGGAACTGGGGGGATCTCACATTAGACAGCTTCCTAGGGCATTCAGTGTTTTCAGGAATCAGATGCTTTCAGGTGAATCAGGTCAAGCCTAACTCAGCTGGAAAGGGAGAGCTTTGTCCCAGCTGCAGGTTGGATCATGCACTGGAGAAAACCAGCAAAGCTGGGGAAAATTCAGCAGTCTTCTTGGTACTGGGTTTACAGGCTCTGTTGAGACAGATGGGCTCCCCAGTCCACAGAGTGGACAATTCCAGGATGTTTGAACACCCTGAAACATTTCCCATGTCACCCAAATCTCATCCAGCACTGGTGTGTGTTTCTGTCCCCAGATTCTTGGATACTTTGACATTGGTTTCACCTCTGTCTTCACAGTTGAAATCGTCTTGAAGGTGAGTCCTTCACCCCATGGCCCTGCCAGGAGCATGCCTAGCACATAGGTCTAGGCTATTGTGGCCAAGGACACTTGCASTCTTCAAACATTCCTGCTCCTGAAGGTGTCAGTGAGGAGGAACTGCCAGCTGATCATTCAYGCAGTCTGGGTGGTGGGTGACCTGTCCCAGAGGCTGTGTCCTCTCCAGTGAGATCAGGCAGCTAAGTCAGCTGTGTTGTGACATGGGGACACATCAGCCATGGCACCAGCATTTTCATTCTGACATGCCATTAAGGAAAAGGGGAGAAAGCAGTGAAAATCTGTGGCCAAAAGCTGCAGTCCAAGCTGCCGCCACATGTTGTTSCWYTCCAAGTGGCTTTACTATTCCCTTYTTTAATTTGCTGACTGACTGGGAGAGTTTTGTCTCCAGCCAGTGCTGCACAGAGGGTTTCCACCTGAAGTCAGCTGCCTGCCTGGCTGCAGAGGTCTGAGCAGGACAGGGTCCCCARGCCCTGGAGCTGTGAGAAATCCCTTGTGCCTCGTCCAGCCTTCCCCTTATGGAGGGACCATGCCCTGAGGCCTGCCTGGCCTCTTTCCTAACTCCTTCTGCTCCCTAGATGACAACCTATGGTGCTTTCCTGCACAAAGGCTCCTTCTGCAGGAACTCCTTCAACATCCTGGACTTACTGGTGGTCGCTGTCTCCCTCATCTCCATGGGATTYGAGTAAGCACCCCCATGTGCCACGGAGTGGGCACTGCTCTGTTCAGGCTGGTGCAGTAGCTGGGGATGGTGGGTGGAGAAGGAGCAGCCAGCCCAAAGTGTCCATAACGCAGTGTTTAGGGGATATGGACAACTGGGAGGCAGGCCAAACTCCCTGAGTGCCAAAGGTCAGGGGGGTAAAGGACACTCCTTGAGTGTCAAAGGTCAGGGAGGTAAAGGACACTCCTTGAGTGTCAAAGGTCTATGGGTAGAAATTCAGTTTGGATCTGCTTTCTTCAGCTGCCAGTGTCATGTGGCCTTTTGTGGGGTGATGGCCTGTGACATCCACGTGTCTCTGCCATCCCTTGTCCCTCTCTGCTGGCTCCAGCCTGCTCTCCATGGCTGATAGTGGGGCTGTGCCAGCTTGGTCTGGGCACAGAAATTGCCCCATCTCAGCTATGCCTTCCTCCCCAGGTCCAGCACCATCTCGGTGGTGAAGATCCTCCGGGTGCTGAGGGTGCTGAGGCCTCTGCGAGCCATTAACAGGGCRAAGGGGCTGAAAGTGAGTGAGAGGCTGGGACTGGGACCTGCTCCCATGCCTGTYCTACCAGGAGGTTATGGGGCAGGCATTGTGCCCTGTTCCCAATTCCCACTGCTCATCTGTGGAAGGAGTCTGCCCAATCCCTCCGCTCTTGGCAGGCTCCTGCTCTTCCTGGAGCCTGTCCCTGCAGTGGGAGGGTGTGGGACACATGGTGACATGTGCACTGTCCTCCCCCTGTGCAGCACGTGGTGCAGTGTGTGTTTGTGGCCATCAAGACTATCGGTAACATCGTGGTTGTCACGACGCTGCTGCAGTTCATGTTTGCCTGCATCGGGGTTCAGCTCTTCAAGGTGAGYGGTGCCTCAGGAGGGACCTTCTGCCCGAGCACATCCTGGAGGGGCTGTCCTGGACATCACYTTGGGGATGGTGTCAGCACAGGCTGTGCTCTCTGTGCTCTGGGAGGGAACCCACCTGCTCCAGAGCTGGCAAAGGGAGGAAGCACCCAAGGTACTGTCAGGTCCAGACAGTGCCTCACCTCCAACTGCCTCTCTTTGCTTCATGCCTCAGTTTCCTCTTTCTAAGGCAGCAAGCACTTCTGACTGGTTTCCTCTGTGCTTTGATTGTGAAGGGTTTCACTTTCTCACAAATTCTTCATTCAGCACCACTCCTGCTCTCTAGGCCTTGTCTGCTCTAAGGCAGAGCTGGCCCTGGCTAAGCTCAGTTTTATTTTAATAACTGAGCTTAAATTCTGAGCTGATGTGGCCAGAGCTTTCAGGACACTCTGCAGACTGAGCAGGCCTGTCAGCATTCCTTAGCTTTAAGTTAATTCTCTGGTTACTGCTTTCTTCCCTGTTTTCCAAGCAGTTGCCTCCCAGGTAGGGTGAGCWAGGTGGGCCTCAGCTCAGGGCCGTGTAAGGTTTGTTCCCATCACCAGGGAGTCTTTTTGCTCTCAGCCTGGCATTGACCCCAGGTGTGCCATGACTCCTGGAATGCCTTGTGAACTGGGTTGTGCTGGTGGGCACAGTGGGGAGGCCAGCAGTGGTGGGAGCCCAGGGCCAGGATCTACACGACGGGGCAGGGACTGACTGTGGGCTGGGGAAAAGTCAAAACTTTCCAGGGCTTCTGAAATCAAAGCAACCATGTGGCCACTGCTGGTCTCTGTTAATGCAGGGCAAGTTCTATTGGTGCACAGACCCATCCAAGCTGACGGAGAAGGAGTGCAGGTAAGAGCTGCCTGCAACTCCCAGGTGGGGGTGGCCAGGGGTGGGAGCTGGGGGGATCTGGTGAGGATGCTGGTGTTCCTGTGTGGGAATGGTGTGTTCTGGCCTGTATGCTCTGGCTTGTGTTCCTGTATGGGAATGCTGCGTCCAAAAAGTGGACCTSAGGTGTCATCCTATTCTCCGTCCCCCTGGGGTAACTCAGGAGCAGGCACAGGGCTCTCCTCCCCTCCCAGGGAATCCCAGGCCAGTGCTGCAGCCCTGGGCTGAGGGGTGCCCTGTCAGCAAGCACTTTGTCCCTTCTGCTGCAGGGGTAAATTCATCAACTACGTGGATGCAGACCCCACRCAGATTGTGGTCGAGGACCGTGTCTGGCTGGCCAACGACTTCCACTTCGACAATGTCTTCTCAGCCATGATGTCACTCTTCACAGTGTCCACCTTCGAGGGCTGGCCACAGTGAGTCTCTGCTGAGGGAAGGTCTGTGCTGGGAGCAGGGCACTGTTCTGGGCCTTGGCCAGGGTAAACAAAGAAGAGCTGTCCAGGTTTAGTAGCAGGACCAGTCACTCTGGCTGTGGAGGTGGCAGGGTTACCCAGGCAGCCCTGTCCTGCTGTTGGATGTCCCCAAAGCTCTCTGTAACCTTCTATTAGGTCTTTCCCACCTAATTAGGATTTCTGTTGCCTCATTTTCCTTCCTGTAGGCTGCTGTACAGGGCCATTGACACAAATGCAGAGGACACAGGCCCTATCTACAATTACCGGCGTGAGATTGCAATATTCTTCATCATCTACATCATCCTCATTGCCTTCTTCATGATGAACATCTTTGTGGGCTTTGTCATCGTCACCTTCCAGGAGCAAGGGGAGAATGAGTACAAGAACTGTGAGCTGGACAAGAACCAGGTAATGGGGGGTGCTGGCACAGGACAAGGGGGACCAGCCCCAAATCTGGCACTGCTGGGGTCGGCTGGTTTGGGTCAGCCCTTCTTTGTGCTGACACAGATGAGCTGYCCCAGCTCTGTTTGCTGCTGGGGCAGGGCCAGCTGGACCCATGTCTAGCACAAAACAAGYCTTCTGGGGGAAGGGCAGAAGGGACCAGAAACAGGGAGTGGGCATCCCTGGACAGGTTGGGTGCCCAGAGTGAGCTGGGGCATAGGGTTGTGCTCAGTTCTGGGCTCCCCAGTACAAAAGCAATATGGATGTACTGGAGGGAGTCCAGCAAAGAGCCACGGAGATGACTGAGGATCTGCAGCATCTGCCATGTAAAGCGGGTCTGAGAGTCAAGTCTGGTGTTGAGAAGGCTCACAGGAATCTTAGCTGTGGGTATAAACGCTGATGAGAAGGTAGAGAGGAGATGGAGCCTGGCTCTCTTCAGCTGTGCCCAGTGACAGGAAAAAATGCAATGGACATGAACTGAAGAAAACAAGAAATTCCATTTAAACATTTAAAAAGCCCTTTGTTTTTTTATGGTGATGGTAGTCAATCACTAGAACAGGTTTCCCAGTGAGGCTGTGAAGTCTCCATCTTTGGAGCTATTCAACAGGTAGCTGTCCTGGGCAGCATGGTCCGGTTGGTTGGCCCTGCTTTGGGCAGGAACCTGTGACTGGACCATCTCCAGAGGCACCTTCCCMTGCCAGCCCTTCTGTGATGCTGCCATGCTGTCATTCTGGCTGGGGACAGCRAGGCTGAAGCAGSAGAGGCATTGGCAGAGGATGTGGGRCACACTGGGGAGGACATTGAAMAGAGGTGGCTGCTGGCCCAGGAGTGCTGTCTCACACACTCCTGCACTGAGGCAGCACGGGCAGCTCGAGCTGGGGGTGCCAGGGTGATGTGAACCACACAGAAACCCAGCAGAGGTGACCCTGGGCTGCTGGGGAGGGACAGGCCTGTGCAGCCACCTCAGTGCTTCACCCCTGCTTCATGAGATGTCTTCAGGGCACTCTGAGTCAGTCCCAAGACACCCTGGGGAAGGGCTGGGATAAACAGGCAGGCTCTGGGCTGGACAGGTCAGGCCAAGGGCAGCGTGGCCATCTTTGGACACAAAAGATTGCTTTGGAAACTTGTCCCACATGGGTGCTCTGGGGTGTTTTGGCAGGAAGCACAGTGGTTACGTGAGCCTCTGCTGTACCTGGCACATGTGGGTGGGCTGGGAGAGAAGGGTGATCCAGCTGGGGTTTGTGGGGCTGTGCAGTGCAGTTTAGTGGTGTACACCACAACTCTACCATGCAAATCAAGCTGGCAACACAGAATTTCCTTATACTGTCCAGTGCTTCTTTCTGGTCACCTACAAGTCACCTCTACAAAAAGGATGTCAACAGGCTGGAGAGGGACCAGAGAGGGCCACAGAGATGATTGAAATGCTGTGAAGCTGCCATGTGAGGGARGGCTGAGAGAATCGGGTCTACTCAGCCTTGAGAATAGAAGGCTTAGGGGAGACCTTATCACCATGTTCCAGTATTTAAAGAGTGGCTACAGAGAAGGTGGTGACTCTCTTTTTATGTGGAAAATACAAGGGGTAATGGGCACAAATTAATCCTGGAAAGATTGCAATTAGAAAGATTGCACAAAGACAGCTGGGACCCCTGCAGTGGGATCACAGCTGCCTTCACTCCCTTCCCCAGCGCCAGTGTGTGCAGTATGCCCTGAAGGCTCGCCCGCTGCGCTGCTACATCCCCAAGAACCCCTACCAGTACCAGATCTGGTACGTGGTCACCTCRTCCTACTTCGAGTACCTCATGTTCTTCCTGATCCTGCTGAACACCATCTGCCTGGGCATGCAGGTGAGGGGCACAGGGTGSTGGAGGGGGRTCTRTGGAAGAGCMCAGGCTGGCTCAGCCCTRRGAGAGCCTCTGGACMRGAGRTGTTTGCTTATGGTAGGATGGGAARAAATSGGACTGGTGGGATGTGGGGAGCTCAGAGAAGAGGCTGCAGGGGGAATTTTCCTTTTTGCTGAGCCATAAGCCTGACTGAGGGCGGTAGCTCACAATGGAGGCTGGATCTGCCATCAGCTAATGGCTCCTTCTGCCTTATCCCCAGCATTACAACCAGTCTGAAGAAATGAACCATGTCTCAGACATCCTCAATGTGGCCTTCACCATCCTGTTCACCCTGGAGATGGTCCTCAAGATCATGGCCTTTAAAGTCAAGGTGAGGGAAGAACATGATCAGCATGGAAAGCAGGCTCAGCCAGGGTGTCCATTTATCCTGCATTTGGCATCTCTTGAGTACAAGCAACCCCAGCCCTGCAGCTCCAGAGATCTCCTTGCAAGACCCTCAGAGGCCCCCATGTGCAGGACCTTGGCGTTTCTGGAAGGACCACTGCTTGTCAGGGCTACCCTTGCTGCCCAAATCTTGCCCAGTCCAGTTGGCCATTGTTCCCACCTTCAGGGTGATGTCACTAGTGGGGGTCACAGCTCTGACCACCCTGATCCACCCTCCTCATTTCACTCCATTGCAGGACAGGACCAAATAACTGAGCAGAGGGTGCAAGGTCTAACCAACATCCCTTCTTCTGAGGGTCAGAGTAACTGAGGAGCCTTCTGGTACCCCTTTCTCTGGACTCCAGTATCTGTCTCCTCCTTGACTTTACCCTTGGATGTTTACTCTTCTTTGGCTCCTCCCTCACAGGGCTACTTTGGGGACCCCTGGAATGTCTTTGACTTCCTGATAGTGATTGGCAGCATCATTGATGTCATCCTCAGCGAGATCGATGTAAGTGTCAGGGGGTTGGGCATGACTGTCCCCACCCCAGAGTGCACTGTAGCCCATCCTGGGACGAGGCAGGGCTGCTGGATGGTCCTCTCCCTCTCCCTCTCCCTCTCCCTCTCCCTCTCCCTCTCCCTCTCCCTCTCCCTCTCCCTCTCCCTCTCCCTCTCCCTCTCCCTCTCCCTCTCCCTCTCCCTCTCCCTCTCCCATCTGCTGATGTGCATGGGATTGGGATTAGGATTAGGATTAAGAGGCATGGAGAGGGGGTGGGGATGGGGGCACCCTCACCTTCCTTTCTGATGAGTCTCCTTCCTGCTAAAAGGTCAGTGCAGGGTGGGTCTGTCACCTCTTGTCCCCAGGAGCAGTCTGCAGCCACTGCAGCCATCACAGCTYCCCTGGGGGCTGCAGGGCTCTCACAGCACAGTGCTGCAGTGTGGGGGTGCCAGGTGACCCTGTACCAGCCCAGCCACTCTTAGTGGCACCCAGGCACACAACTCTGCTTTGAAAAGTGTCCCCTCCCCTCCCAGATGCTGCCTCTGTCCATGAGCAGCCACATCACCTTGTCCCTGAGCCCAAGGGATGGTGGGGCTCTGCCTGCCCCTCTCCTGTGCCCCTCCTCCTCTCCCCGGTTTCCATTTTACTCTTTCTTCTGTGTCTGTGTCACCTTCTCGTGTAACCACCCCTCCCTCCCTCCCTCCCTCCCTCCCTTCCTGCCTCTCTTCTGCTGACTCTTTGTTCTCTTGACAGGCGATTCTTGCTCCCAGTGGAGGGTTGTACTGCCTGGGTGGAGGCTGTGATGGCACTGTAAATACCAGCTGCATGTGCCTGCTGTGCCCCCCTCCCTGCCCTGCATGTCCCTGAGGCACACCAGGCCCTCTCTGTGTAACTGTGCCCTTGCTGAGGGGGATTTGGGGGGACACACCGCACACACAGACACCTCTTCCCACCCTGAGAGGTGCAAGGCTGTTCCCCAGCTCTCCTGGGCCCGTGTGAGAGCCCAGCCCTGCCCTTCCCCATCCCATCCCCTGGAACTGCCATACTGGARGACTTTCCCAGCTGTAGGGCAGGAACGCTGCCCTTGGTCCTTCTGCCCATCACCCTGGCTGCCTGAGGCCTGAAGGGATGCAGCCTCTGGCACAGTTAGCCAGAGGAATGGCTGGAGAGGTGATTCCTGCACTGTGCCTTCCCCACAGCTGTCTGTGTCCTGGGGGTGCAGCCCAATGTCCTTGGCTGGGTGGGCCAAGCCCTGCACTGGTGGCCAAGATGACCAAGGAGCCTCAGTGGCAATGGAGTGTCCTGGGTTGGTCTGAAGATGTGGAGGGAGCTGAGTGCAGGGTACCACGTGCTGGAGCCTCTCCCAAGGATCACAGGGCCCGAGCTGATCTCCACTGGACACTGCCCAGATCCCAGTGTGGGGGATGTGGTGCACTGGGACTGATGGGATGTTTCTGACCACTGCACTCCCTGCGTGGGCATGAGGCACCAGGAGAATTAAAGGCCAAAGAAAGAGGAGAGAGGAGATGCAGTTTTTTGGTGCAGCCCTGGGAACTCAGAAGAGTGATAGTGAGGAAAGGAGCTGTTTGGAGGGATATTTGCAGCTGGATTTTGTTGCCCTGAAATAGCTGGGAGTGGGTGTCCTGGGTGATGGGAGTGAGAGCAATCCAGTGGCAGCAGTAAAGCTCTGGTAGTCCAAGGGGGCAGTGGGAGAAGCACCCCATGAGGTGACAGAGCCCAGACAGTGCCAGCAGGGTCTGCCCATGGCTCCTGGTGGCAGAGATTGTGGCTGGGGCTGTGCCATGCTGGAGCAACCAAGGGCATAGGTGACCAAGCCCCCAGCACCTCCAACCACCACTGTTGGTGCTCCCAGACCAAACCTGGGCCTTTCAGGCCAGGAGCSACCTCTTGGCTCCCCTCCTGCCTGCCCACCCTGCCCTGGACCCCTGGGAACATGGAACATTCACCCCTTCAAGGGGTTTGTATACCCACATCACTGCAGGCTGGGTGACACTGGGCAGCACCCCCAGAGCCACCTCTCCTCAGTCCCTCCTTTGGTTAAAGCCCTGCTGGAACGTTCTCAGACCAGCCCTTATGTGCTTAAACAAACGTCATTAACCTTTCCTGTGCCTGCTGCCTACCCTACACCTCACCCTACAAATACAGAATGTGCTGGGCAAGGGCTTGGTGGGACTGAGCCTGTCTCTGGTGGCTCTGTGACCCTCCCAGCTGTCCCAGTCCATGTGGCMGCATGCCTTCCTTCCTGCAGTATCCCAGTGCCAAGGGTGTGAACATGGGGGACTGGGGAGGTGACACCCCTGGGAGGGTTGGGGAGAGAAATGCCAGGGGGAAAAATGCCAGCACATCTTTGGAGTGTGACCCTGTGTGCAGCCAAGGACTCTGGGGACCATGACTGGGGCCTGGGTGTGGGATCTCGCCATCCTTCCTCACCTCAGGACCCCAAAAGCCTGGAGGCTTCAGCACTCTGTGTCCCCCAGCTGCTGTGCTCTGCCTGCAGGACCCCGACGACAACTCCCGCGTCTCCATCACTTTTTTCCGGCTGTTCCGGGTGATGCGTCTGGTGAAGCTGCTGAGCCGGGGTGAAGGTGTCAGGACCCTCCTGTGGACCTTCATCAAGTCCTTTCAGGTGTGTCAGGGGCAGTGCTGCCCTCCCAAACATGCCCAGGCTGGCAGCAGTGGCTGATCCTTGGGCTGGCAGCACTCCAAGCAGAGGAGAAGGTTCTGGTGCTGGCAGGCTGCTGGCTYCAGAGCTCAGCCCCTGTCCCTGGGCTGCCTTGGATGCTGGGCTGGTGTCTCACACAAGCTATGGTCCTTTTGTCACAGGCTCTGCCCTACGTGGCCCTGCTGATTGTGATGCTTTTCTTCATCTATGCTGTGATTGGGATGCAGGTGAGAAGCACAGGGCCAAGGGGGTGGGAATTGCTCTTCATCAGATGCCCTGAGCCTGGCAGCACCTGGGGAGGTGGGACAGGGAGGGACTGGTTCCTCTGCTAGGCCCTCTCTGRGGCTTTGCACATGATGGGACCCGTTTACCCTGGTCTGCAAGGATGTTTGCCACCCCAGCAGCCTCCCATCCCTGGGCTTTGGCCAGAGCAGCTGAGGTTCATGGCAAAGAGCATTTTGGGAGTCARTGGCACAATCTAGACACACAGGCACCAATGCTTGTGTTCAGGAGACCTTGTCTCCCTGGCCCAGATGAAGTCAGGGGTATTTTCAGCACTAGCAGGAATGTCTGTGTAGCTTCTGACCCCCAGAGCACCTGCACCCCAATCTCAATCTCTTTTGGGGATGCCCAAAGCCAAATAAACAAGAGGAAGTGGAGTTCAGGCACCAGAGGGGTTCTGGAGGGTGGTTGGTGCCTGAGAAAGGGCGGCACCCTGGAGACCTCACACTGTGATTTACAGATGTTTGGGAAGATTGCCATGGTGGATGGGACCCAGATCAACCGAAACAACAACTTCCAGACCTTTCCACAAGCTGTGCTGCTGCTCTTCAGGTCAGTGTTGTCCTGCCCTGTGAGCAGCACCAGAAGGGAGCTGGGCTGTGAGCCTGTGGGAATGTCCAGCTTGGAGTGAGGGAGGACCAGCATTTCTGTAGCTGGTTTCTTTTTTGTCCGACAGAGAGATCTCCTGCAGTAGTGGGAGTATTTCAGGAGAGGCTGTGGGTTTACCTGGTGTGGCTGGGCTGCTGGAGAGAGGGGCATTTTTGGGTTGCTATCCTGAATATTTCCTTCCCAGCCTGGATTTTAATTTGTGAATTGTGAGGAAGCTCATGGGAAGCAGGAGCTCAGCCCAAGGCTTTCCTTGACTCCAGACACTTCACTTTGAATCTTTCCATGGCCCTACAGCAGCAAGCCCAGAATCCTGAGCGCTCCTTTCCCAGCAGCTCCCCRTTCCCCTGTGCTCTGGGCTGGTCTCTGGGCTGCCCAGGACAGGCAGGGACCAGCAGGTGTCCATCCCTCTCCCCAGGTGTGCCACTGGCGAGGCGTGGCAGGAGATCTTGCTGGGCTGCAGCTACGGCCAGCGCTGCGACCCGGAGTCGGACTACGCCGAGGGCGAGGAGTACACCTGTGGCACCGGCTTTGCCTACTTCTATTTCATCAGCTTCTACATGCTCTGTGCCTTCCTGGTATGCTGGCTCCCCCTTGGCACCCCTGTGTCTCATGGGGTGAGCCCACTGCACCTCCTCCTGGGGACATCKCCCCCAGCCCAGCTCCCCAGCCATGCTGGAAACTGGCACTGCACTGCTTGGGGACCGACCCAGGATCCCMTTTTAGTTTCTTCCCACAGCCTCCATGTGCTGCCTTCCACATGTGTTTGTGTTGGCCTTTGTGAGGGTGGAGGGATGAGGTGCTGATGTGCTTCGAGCTGCTCAAGCAGGAGGTTCCTCACTAAGCATCCTCTGATTCCTGGACATCCCAAGCCCCTTCTGCTCCAGAGCACATCTACCCATGTTTCCGTGATCTCTCTTCCCTAACTGGGTCCTTCCCACCCCTTCCTCTGCCCTCAGATCATTAACCTCTTCGTGGCTGTCATCATGGACAACTTTGACTACCTGACACGGGACTGGTCCATCCTTGGGCCCCATCACCTGGATGAGTTCAAACGGATCTGGGCTGAGTACGACCCCGAGGCCAAGTGAGTAGGGGTGGGTGAGTGGCATGGAGAGGGWGCTCCATGGGCTGGGCTGCCCAGAGATGGGCATAGCAGGGTGAGCTGTGGCACTGCCTAGGAGTTAGATCCATCCACTGCCTGGGAGTTAGATCTCAGAACTGGATATGCGCTTGACCGGGTATTCCAGGTTTGATAAAAGCCAAAAAAGGGTATTTKGGAACATAAGACTTTCAGTTCCCTCTTCACCTAGCTGTGGTCAGGCTGCCAGCTCTTATTGCCCCTGCACATCTTTACCTGACCCCCAGTGCCACAGGGAGCAGCTGCTTTCCCAGGAGGAGCACAGATGGAGAAAAACTGTGTCTCTTCTCCCACCTCTTCCTTTTGCCTTTGGCTCTCCTGGTGCCTTGAGCCCATCCAGGGAATGCAGTGGTCAGGAACAGGAGCATAGGGAAGAGGAGGGATTTGCCCAGTGCAGAAACATGGCAGCCCTTAGGATGAGCCCCCCAGCCCCTCCTTAAGCCACCATCACGCGGGTCTGCTGCCTCCCTGCTGAGCTGGTGTTTCCTCTGCAGGGGGAGAATCAAACACCTGGATGTGGTGACTCTGCTGAGGCGTATCCAGCCACCCCTGGGCTTTGGGAAGTTCTGCCCACACCGTGTGGCTTGTAAGGTGAGAGCCAAGCAGGTGACAAGGTGTGTGGGCACAGGGACACCTGCCCCAAGCTGTCACCGTGTCCTCCCAGGAGGCTGAGAGTGACAGTCSAGGCAGCTTCCCAGTGCCACAGCTTGTGCTCTGCTCTGACCTCTCCTTTTAAATCAAGGGGTGTATTCGGGGAGCAAGGGAGGTGCTGCTGACCTGCACARAGCTGGTTCAGGCTCCTGAAGATCAGGATGTACCTGTGCTCTCCTCCTGCCTCCAGGATGTGGCTTTGGGGCTGGGCTCTGCCCAGAACCCTCGGTGCAGGGCACTCCCCTGCCACTCTGCCGGCTCTCAGCTCTGCAGTGGGGCAGGAGGGCAGTGCAGGGCCTGAGCATGTGGCCATGGCAGCTGGGCTGCAGAGCTTGTTTCCAAGAGCTGGTAGCACTTTGGGAGCAGGAAACACCAGCTCTGAAGGCAGAAACTTTTGCTGGCTTGGCTTATTCTGAAGAAATCCTGGACCTGTGTGAGGCTCACGTGTAACATGGATGGACAGGAGCTCAGGCACTGGTGTGATTGCTCCTGGGATTTAAACCCTCCTGGTTTTTGGGCAAACCCAGCAGGAAATTTCATCCCCAGATTCCTCACAGCAACCTGGAATATAATTTTAGAGGAGGGAGTGCAATGCAAAATGAATCTCATCCTTCTGAAAGAAGCTGGGGGGATTCATCCTGGAAAAGGGGGCTCAGAGGGACCTTCTTGYTCTCTGCARCTCCCTGACAGGAGGCTKAAGCCAGGTGGGAGTTGGTCTCTTCTCTCAAGTAACAAGTGACAGTACTAGAGGATACAGTCTCAAGTTACACGATGAGAGGTTTAGGATGGATATTAGGGAAAAATTTTTCACCAAAAGGTTGTCAGGCCCTGGGACAGGCTGTCTAGAGCAGTGGTGGGGCACCACCCTGGAGGGATTTAGAAGCCATGTGAATGTGGCACCTGGGGACATGGTTTATCTGGTGACCTTGGCAGTGCTGGGGGAACAGTTGAACCTGATGACCTTACAGATCTTAGAGATCTTTTCTGACYGAAACAATTCTGTGATTCTATGATTTTCTCACTCATGCCCCTATTTCTCCTGGCTCTGCCCATCGCTCACTCTGGTTCAGCTGGCTGGGACAAGGGATGTCACTGCCCCCAGCAGTTGTGGTACCACCCTGGGGCTGGGCAGGGCTGAGAGGGCTCTGTGCCCTGAGCAGAGCCTCTGGTCAGGCCAGGAGCTGAGCCTGGGGCTGCCAGCCTGCTCTGCTGGGGTCACWGGTGTGGGTTTGGTTTGCTGTGCAGCGCCTGGTGTGCATGAACATGCCCCTGAACAGCGATGGCACCGTCACCTTCAATGCCACCCTCTTTGCCCTGGTGAGAACAGCCCTCAAGATCAAGACAGAAGGTAAGGAGTGATCTTGTCTGCCTCTGCAGCCTGACAGGGACCCTCCCTGTGCTGCTGGGTGCAGGTTAMACACCAGTCCCCCACTGGCCAGGGACCTCAGGACACCTGTCTGTGGGATCAGAGACTCTGGACAGCCCTCAGCTCTGTACCTATTGACCATCCTTTTGGAGCTGAGCCCCTGGGTGCATGCATGGACTGCTCAGGCTGAAGCTGGAGGGTGTTGCAGCCCTGAGGAGTGAACCAGTGCCACCAGTGCCACCAACGCCACCCTGCACACCCTAGGAGTGGGCCTGGTCCAGCTCCCACCCTTTGAATTTAGCTGTGCTGGGGAGGAGTTGCCCTCACCCTTTCCTCACCACCAGCACAGTTGCTGAGCTGTGCTGTGGGGAGGTGTCCCAGCAGCTCATTCCTGTGCCCGTGGGCTGTGCCAGTGCAGGGAAGAGMTCTGGGCTGGATTGGGCTGGGCAGCTGACTGTGGCAGGGGCTGCTGGGGTCAGMGTCTTCCAGCAGCATCCCTCTGGCTGGGCTGGGAACATGGCAGCCTGGGAGAAGCACAGGAAATCTTGGGGATAGACTGGGATTTCAGGAATGCTGAAGCCTGTGGGAGCACCAAAGGGGAGGTCAAAACCTGTATTTTGACTAAAAATCAAAGCCTCACTCTTAGAAGCTCATTTCTGTTGGGTGGGGAGACAGARAGGAGCTGTCACACCCTGGAGGAGATCGGCCAGGTGTTCACATGCTTTGTGTTCACTCCTGTTCATGTCCGTGGGAATGAACTGCCCTGTCCTGCTCRCTTTCCTCATAGGTAATTTTGAACAGGCCAACGAGGAGCTCAGAGCTATTATCAAAAAAATCTGGAAGCGAACRAGTATGAAGCTTTTGGACCAGGTGATCCCACCTATTGGAGGTATGTCACCTGGTGGCACTTCCCAGAGGGACAGAGGGACCCCTGGTCATGGTCTCACTGCTCCAGCCCCTTGGGATCTTGTGACAGGCAGAATCATCACGTTGGCTTCCTCCCTCCAGATGATGAGGTGACAGTGGGCAAATTCTATGCCACTTTCCTGATCCAAGAACATTTCAGGAAGTTCATGAAGCGCCAGGAGGAATATTATGGGTACCGGCCCAAGAAAAACGCTGTGGAGATCCAGGTTGGTGTGGGTGGTGCTGGAGGTGTSATTCTTCCTGGAGGTGGGCAGGGAMGAGGCTTCAGAGAGCTCAGAGAGCTCAGAGAGCTCGAGACACACGGGGGGGACCCCTGAGCCTCAAGTCTCTGGCAGTGAGGTGACCCCAAGGAAACGAGCACTGAACTGGCCATGAGTGCCCACTGTGAGTGTGACCTTAGTGCTGAGTGCCCTCAGWGCCATCAGTGCCCACTGCTGCTTGTGATCTCAGTGCCATGAGCATCCACTGCTGAGTGTGACCTCAGTGTCATGAGTAACCACCACTGAGTGTGACCTTAGTGCTGAGTGTGACCTCAGTGCCATGAGAGCCCATTGCTGAGTGTGACCTTGGTGCCATGAGCACCCGCTGCTGAATGTGACCTCAGTGCTGAGTGTGACCTTGGTGCCATGAGCACC